CTCGGCGAAGCTGACCGGAGTGCCGTTGACGTACCGATTTATACGGTTCAAGCCACTGCTTTATAAACCTGATGGTGCAGCGTCCTCGGATCACCGCTTCAGCCATTCAAAAACCGTTTCATTTTTAGTCTTAATGCTTATGCCCTTCTATAAACAAAACTTACGTGCCACGGAGCCGCCAGCGAAAAACAACAATTTCATGTCGTGTGCAACTTCAGTTCAGGTTTGGCAAATTATATAATTGAGCTTGAGAACTATCCAAAAGGTGAACGGAGTTTCAAAGCTAAGTTTACAGTATTTTTTCTAAGTTTTGCCTTTTTACGCTGTCGATTTGACGCACGGCGAAAACATTGTAAAAGTTAACGGCATTTTATGGTTTCGTCGAGGTGTCTGCTGACTAATAAAATACTGTATCGTGCCTTAAAAAACGTATTTCCGCGGTGTCGTTCGTGGGGAGGAGCGTTGCATGACGACCCCAAGAACGGCTGTGTAGCAGACTATACAAAAATAGAAACGAACAAAATTAGACAAAAATCGGTTGAAGTGCCTGTGTTAGTTTCGTTTATATCGTACAACACATATTATTCGATGAATCGACACTACAGACATTTGTCATTTGTATCCTTGAAAATTCATTTAAAAAATTCCCAATCATTTGCAAGAGGCTATTCTTTTCTCTGCATGAAGATTAAAATAAGAACAGTATTTAACAATTATTCGCCTTAGGTTCGACGAATCATCAGAAACATTTGTTAACGTTTAAGTTTAACATTTTATATAATCCGTGTGGAGCGGTTTATGTAGCGTCATATAAGGAACCGCTCGACCAATCAGATTACTGGAAACTCTTTGCTCAGCTCTGAAATTATACTAAAACACCTTAGAAACATCCTCAATTTTATCTCCAAGCGTTTTAAAAAAACCAACTTCATAGGCCTGTTTGCTATAATCAAATTAAGTTCAGCATGTAAGTAGTCATCTTTTTAAATGTTTGACCATAAATACGACAGGTTCAGAGAAATCTTACTGTTTGGAAAATTTAAGTTGGCTCTCAACCTGAAGTGCGAGGCCTTTTTAGAACTCTACAGAAAGATAAATCTCGACATGGCTATAGCAATTCAACGATGAAGACGGGGGACAACGTGCTCACTTTTTAGTTACAGGACAAGCAATTAAAGCATACATTAAGGCTGTTTGGAAGGGGGATGTAACGGCGGTTGCAATGCTACTGTTTTAACTTACCTTTACGGCATTTTCAAGGAAACAAATGCAAGTGAATCTACCCGTCAGAGAATTGGTGGTAAAATAGGACAAAATTATTATGCGCTATCTTTAAAGCAACCTTTGCCGCAAAGTTATAATATTACATGCGGTATCTTTTTTTACCTGTCAAAATGTATTTCGGCAATAAAGGAAGAAAATTAACGGAATTGGTAATTTTCTCAAAACTTAAGACGATATTCATGATATAATCTGTTTATTTCTATGATTATATCTCCAGTAAGAAGAAAATCTTAACAAAACTGTAACTGTCACGTGTAAAATTAGAGGAACGTTTTCTAAAATTCTTTGGTCACATGAAAATTTGTTTTGAAATTTGAAACAAGGCATTTTGCTAGTCGAATAAACCCGAAAAGGAAGTCTTCTCCCTGAATAGAAACCATGTTGCATAATTAAAATCGTCGGTAGAATTTGGATTAATTTTGCTTAAAGAGCCACCTTTTCAACATTTTAACTTTGAATCACCTCTGACGTTTGGATACAAGTACCGGATGTTTTAAAATCTTAATGAACAATCGCTTTAGCCCTCGAATTTAAAATCGTATTTTGTTTTTCAATTACAAACGATCAACAGATCCTCGAGCTTCTTTTTGTGGCACGGAATAACTTGAATCGGAAACCATTAAATAGAGAAGAAGAAATTATATATAATTACGATAGCATCCTTTGATATTGTTAAGTGAATGATTGGTATCCAGTTGGGATCCTATTACAAAATAACACTGGAAATTTTTAAAAATTGAAAAATTACTGACAAGAAAATGAGAAAGTACCAGATGTTGACGGTTGATGAATGTTAAAACTTCACTCAAATGACTGAAGAGAGTAAATAATAGTGTTTCACTTTTGTTGTTAGAAGAGAAATTTACTCTACTTATCCCACTGGACAAAATTACAAATTTTAATTTGGAAAATGCTCTTGCATAAGAGATTGACTGAGGGTTACATCGAAGCAAACTAGTTCAAAATCTACTTTTCCTTCTCCATAATCATTCTCTATCGCGCCAGGGGATTAAATGTCACCATAGCTTACCTGTTTGCATCATCTGTTACCAATTCGCCAATCAATAAAGCGACAAAACCCTGAGAGTGTTAACCACTCAGAAGTCGGTTATTACTTCCTTTGTCTATTGTAATATATTGCGCAAGAAATGATGGGTCTGACAAAATACAGGTGCAGTGCTTAAGCAAATATCCGTCTCCCTCAGTTATTACTAACTGCCGTACGCCAGTACTCGGCGACTCACTCACCGTCTTTTAGTTTTTCATAGACATCGCGCTCAAACCTCACGGGTCACATCTAACACAGGGTTTTTGAGGGGTTAAAGGAAGTGAATAAAATGTGAGTAACCCATCTCATTTGAAATGTGCTGAAATATCTCAGTAAATTTGTTAAAAATGACGCAGTTACACTCTAAGGTAACAGAGAGCTCTTCTTTCAGTTACGGCTCTGTTGCTTAATGTATGACACACCAATACATCGTTAAAATTGTAGAACAGCAAGAGAAGCGAAGGCGAACAGAGATGTAGCAACATCCTATTAGTCATTGCATGATGAGCGAAGAGTCAATCGTGTAGATTTAGACTTATTTTTTATTGAAGTTTTCACATAGGGACAACCTCTTAACTTCCTTTTGTAGAAGCATCTTTTTCCCTTTCCTTTTTAGTGTATATAGTAGTGTGCTTCTGGAATAAATAAAGTATGCATGTATGTATGTACGTATGTATGTATGTATGTATGTATGTATGTATGTATATACGTATGTATGTTTATTGAAATTTTTATTTTGGAAAATGTGAGGTTGCTTCCTTTTTTCATTCAATGAACATTTTGGTGAGCCTGCTCTTCAGGGAGAGTTAAAGAGTACCGCTGCCAAAAACTAAGAAATAAGAAAAAAAATTCAGCAAAACTGGTTTCGCTGAGAAAAGGTTCTTCAGAGATATAAACCTTTATTTTGATTAAAACCTGCTGACGGTACTAGCCGACAGCGAATGCCACTCAAAGTGGAAAGACAGTTGAAATGACAAATTAAAATTTGTCATATTTCTAACGACTAAAAGTAAAAATAATCGTACTTTCAGATGAAAAGTGCTATAGTTGCCATCCCTTTGTAAGAAAGAAAAGATTAAGATTTTCTTTCCGGTTTCTTTAAGACAACAGAAAACTAATGTTTTGAAGTTGCTACGGTTTGTGTCTTTCCTTAAAAAGCGAAGTTGCTTCACGGCTTGGAAAAGCACAGTCCATCAAAACTGATCCTTTAAGAGTCCTTCTCATACTTATAGGGATCCTTCTAAGACGTTTTAAGCCCATGGCAGCATTTTGAGTGCTGTAGCATTTAGCTGTCTGTGATGTAACGCGAAAGGAAACAATTTCATGAGTGACATTTGGAGAAATTACTATTTCTATATAGTTGCAATATTATTAACGAAACAAAAAGGTTTCCAACCGGCACACAATAAAAATAACTGCATGGGTGCTAACAGCCTAAACTTCCTCCTATAGTCACTCTTCTTTACGCCATAGAGTGATTTTGATATTCATTGTTTTCGTTTCTGTCGTGAAAACAATTGCTTTACACGGACCAATTTCTAGATTGACTTTACAAACATGAAATTACATCCTGTGTATTATATTTAAAAATGCGACATTACATACAAACGCTGTGGGGAAAATGACACGCAAGTCATTAAGCCTGTAGCAGTATAAGTTATCATTAAACTTACAAAGGCTTCTATTAGGTGAGGGCTGACAAATCGTCACTCAGAAATTCGCACGAAAAGCCGGTACCCTTAATATTTCAATATATAGGCAATCCTGAAATGTAAAATTGCGAGAGAATTTTAATCTACAAACTGGTTTTCATCAGTATTTTTAGCTGCAGAGTCAATAATCAGTATTTTTGGGGTTCAAAAACTTCGAATGTCACGTGATCAACAAACATATTCTATGATAAGGTATTTAAATAAGAGGGCATGAAATAATGATCCTCCATCGAAAATGTTTGATCAAAATATCACACGCGAAAGAAATGTGTTGGTGAAATAACCAGGCTTTCTCCACTAGTCCTCAGAATATAATATCGTCATTTTGTGAGGTGAAGATACCATATTTATCTTTCACATGAGGAGATATCGATGTCACCATGGCGATAAGTGACTGTGCTTTTAGGGAAAGCTATTTGATTTTACAAATATTACCAATTGAAAATAAATTCGTTATTTCTGACAGAGTTTTTTTCTCTCTAAATGGAATGTTCTTGATCCCGTTGTGCAGGAAATATCTTTTCTGCTCGGAAACCCATTTTAAGGGTAGATGTTTCAGTAAACTTTAAATGATGAGTTAAGCTTATACATTTTATCGATACCTGTCTCATAACCTAGACATTACTTGACCGTTTGGAAATGCGAAATTTTATCACAAGCGATCGCTAACAGAAGTTACCAGTATGACATAGAACTAAACTCTGTATCCCATAAAATGACATAAAACACCTTGTAACAAGGTCTACAACTAATTTCCTTTGGCTGTCACCTCAACAGACAGCCGGTCGATGCTCACATTATATTATCAAAGCAACTTGTCGTGAAACATTCAGTAGGAATCTGACGTGAAATTCCCCTTTTTTCTCCTCTTGTGCGGTTTGCAAATCGATGGGGTATTCCATTGTTGCACATTATTTTTTCAAACCAATTTTTTTTTCATCAATCATCTTGTTTAATTTTTGCTTGTTCTGATTAATAAAAAATATGTTTAATACATGACTTTAATCACTAGTTGAGTTCGTCCAAACGGCGCTGTGGCCTTGTTTAATTATCACGACAATTTTTAAGGCTCTATTCTAACAACCTTGGATCCCAATTTGAAACCACAAAATCCCAGCCATTTAAACTCATTTTAATTTAACGAAGCTTTACCGTTGAAGACACAACAAAAGAGCTTTAAATTGAGACTTGATAATGAAATTCAAATTCACGACTTATGCACTCCCTTCTATCACCAATTTTATTTATCGCGTGGCATTTGTGTTCTAACGATGAGTCAATGTCGATAGTGTTCAAACAAAGGTGACCCCTTTCTAAACGAAAAGAACAGTTCACTTGTATGTCCATCACGGGGGCACTTTTTCTTTGCTTTCTTCCTCCAAGTAAACAGTTTCTATCCTGTGTTTGCAATTTATTTACACTTTTACGAGGAGTGAAATACCGTGTCTTATGCTAATTGGAAACATAAACGCCAAATTTCCTTTTTCAGAAGACTGGCGTCACCAAGCTGCTTACTCAGCCGGCAGGCTTATTTCAGTGATCCACTGGTTTGACGGAACTTAGTTATCAGTCAAAGACGCCGAGTTAAACAGCAGTGCACGTACCTCGGTGGATAGAAAAAGGGATGAACTCAACTCATACAGCCCAGCTGAATGCAACTCCATCACCATCTCTGGTGATGAGGAGCGACGTCGAAATTTACATTCAAGTGGTTTTTTTGGTCATAATTTGCATCGGCAGCGTGTTGGGAAACGTCTTCGTTGTAGGAATTGTGATCTTCGATCACAAACTCCACAAGCCCACGTACTATTTCATCAGCAGTTTGGCTACCGCAGATTTCCTTGTCGGGGCGATTTACATCCCATTTTACATCATGGCATCGCTCGCTCAGAAGTGGTATCTTTCCCTCACTTGGTGCAAATGGAATGCAACTTTCATTTCAGTGGGTCTTAACGCCTCTTTGGTTACATTGTCTTTGGTCAGTGTGGATCGCTATCTCGCCATAACCGATCCGTTACGGTAAGAAATAACTGCTAAGATACCTACTAGAAAAAAAAAAAACTTTCAATTAACCTCGACCTCTTCTCTGCTCTCACTGAATCAAAACTTATGCAATAGCTTTACAACACGATTATCACTCGGCTACGCAATAGCGTCTGTTTATATTCTCTTTTTAACTGAGTTCCTGAGCACCTCAGTTTTATTTACCAACCCATTCATCGAGTATTATGTACAGTTGATACAGGCAAAGAGCACGGGCCAACAATATCTAAATTATGGTTGATTAAATGATTACATGTTGATGAATTCCAAAACCAGGAAAACGAGTATTCAGTAGGTCATAGAAGTTCATTTCACCCCAGCATCAGACTACAAGGCGCCTTGCAATGAAAAATGAACAAGAAAAGACATTTTTTTTTTAACCTTCGTGTCTCTGGTATGCCTTCAGATTTGATAAGTAAACTCTTGTTAATCCAAGATTCGGACCAAAAAAAGCTTGGTAAAATTTTCTGCCCTGCACGGGGTTTATAATATGCAATATTTCGAAAGCAAAATTCTAAGGGTCTTCAACAGCTTACGAGTAAAAAATTAATCCGGATACTGGTGTAGGATTTAGACACGAAAAACCATTTGCAAAGCGGAAAAATGACTAAGAACAAAGATTTTATATGTTTGATTAAGCCCTGGTTGAAAATGATTCGCACTAAACGATAGAAAAACGTTCAAAAAAGGACTAGAGAGAGCAAGGCCTTTGTACAGAAAAAACGCTCACTAGATAGCCTCAGCGAGATTAATTAACGCACACAGAGAGTTAAAATAAAATGAATACAGTTCATATCAGGTCCAACGTCAATGGGTTTTAAAGGATCTCTGAAAAAGACGAACGTAAGCCTAAAATAGACAACCTTATCATTTAAACGGAAAATAAATTCGGACTTACCAAATCAACAGAAGTAGCCTTCTTTAAATAATTAAAATCGCGTAAATCTTCATGGGTTCATATTTGAAGATCGTTAATTTACATGTCGTACTATACTAAACTTTAAAAACGATAGGATTAGCGGTCACTAAAAACAAAATCAAAGCAACTGCCTTGATGGTTTAAAGTTTTTAAGGAGAAACTTAGGTAAAAGCTGTTGACTTAAATTAATTCAATATCGCTGAGTCTGTCTTGTTTGATTACATCTATTGATATTGAGGTTCGAAAAATTTTCTTCCTCGTTAAAAAAGAGGTAAGTTAATTGAAACATCTGCAACAAAATATATTTGCAGAAATGATGGAAATGATGTTTCCAACCGTTGCATACAGCGTATTGATACTCTTCTAATGCCCTGGTTTCTGTGCTAATCATCAAGGCAACTCGATCAGTATGAACTTAACTTCATGAACTATTTTCATAATCAAAATCAGTTCTCCTTTCCCCACAGTTCAATGTTTGGGAAACACAATCAGGCAGCCACCTGCAAAGTACGCAGTTGCTTTGTTATTCAAATAATTTAAAGCAATATCTATGCTCCATCAAAGTGGTCCTCCAAAAACATTAATAGCAGAGGTTTCTCCAGCCTGTAGAACATGCATCACGTTTTTGCGTTTAAAGGCAAACACGAGGCGAACTCGAGGCGAACGCGAATTAAGTGCGACAATCGCGTTTCTTTTCACGCTCCCTCTCACGCGTGGCTATGTTTTCGTGTTTGCCTTGACTGAAAAACGCAGAAGCACCCACCTGTTCTAGCTAAATTTAACCGCACCTCGTATATGCCTAGAGGCATATAATCACTTTTAACTCCAAGTCAGCTTTATTCTTTGACAATTTCGTGTTTTGATCAAAAGCAGAACTGACACGGACTATTAAGAAAAAATTCTAAGTTCCTATTCTTTGACAGCTATTTGACATGCGCTTGTTAATTTGCATTGTTCAGTGTCCTGCAGTGCGCAAATTTAATCATGGCTGTATCAAGAGAAAATAAAAAGAAAGCCGGCGGGAAAGGCTCACTGACTTTTTGTTTTACTTCGAGTGGACTAGATCCTTAAATCGATCGTTCCTCAGCTGTCAAATAAAAGAAACAATATAGCTTGCCTGAAAAAGAAGGCGTCTTCAACACGAAACTACGAGTTCAGAGAAGTCTCCTTCTTGTTAACTGCGCAGAGAAAAAGATGAATCAGTCTCGTTCTTCGAGGATTGAAGATGCCACTGAATGCAATCATATTTTCTATAAGTCATTTCTACAGCTGTCTTTCTCCGGTTCTTATCGTAGCTTCCTTATCGCAGCAGCTGTTATTACTTTAGTGGCCTGTCCTTTCACTGTTCTGTTGAACGCCATTGTAATAGCGGCCGTGAAAACCAGGCAGCAACTGCAAACTCTCACTAACATCTTATTGGCAAGTATGGCGCTGACAGATCTAATCACTGGTCTTATCGCACAACCACTTTACATAACCATGAGTTATTACCTTGTAATAGGAAGAACCTTGCGCGGAATTTGTAACATCAGTTTGACTGTTAACATCTCCTATTTCTTAACATTCTGGGCGTCGGTGGTACATTTGTTTTTAATCAGCGGAGAGCGGTATTTCGCTATGAAATACACTTTTCGTCATGGCAGTTTTATCACAAAAGGTCGTCTTCTGGCAGCTTGCGCTGTACCGTGGATTACCTCAGCGCTACTGATCTACTCGTTCACACAGTCAGCAACCTTGTTTTACATTCTGGTGGCAATTATCATTTTCACGACGATCTTACTCCACAGACTTGTTTACAAAGAAGCCAAACGGCACGAGAAACAAATCATGTTGGAACAAGTTACAGAAGAAGCCAGGACTAAATTTCAAAGGGAGAAGAAAGCGCTCAAATTAACATCGATGATTTTCGCTGCAATATTTCTTTGTTGTGTACTGCCAATAGCTGTCAGGTTTGTAACATTGAATGTTTTCGACGAGTATTTGTCGAGTGATTCGAAAACATCCTTGCGTCAGGCTACCTTTGTGCTGTCGTTTTTCAACTCACTGATCAACCCTGTTATTTATACTGTACGAAAGAGAGAGTTTCAAATTGCTTTTAGAAAGTTGCTTTCACCAAAATGTTTTAGGGAAACTGTGGAAGTAAAAAGGAGCTTGGGGATGCCCCGCCCGAAAAAAAGTATTGTGATTCCGGAGGATATCCGGGGAGATGAAATAACTAACACATCTAGAGAACTTGGCTCACTCAGAAGAGTAAACGAAAAAAAGGAAACGAAAAAAAAAACAAAATAACACTACTCAGACAGTTATGAAGTGAGGTGAAAACGATTTTTTTTTTAGCTTTTGAAACAGGTTGTCCGGTTTTTGTCTCTTGATAACAAGACAGACGGACAAACCATAACTTGAACCTCATAGCAACTGTGAAAAATAGGTACCCGATAAGTACGTGTATCTGCTGCAGCAGCATGGGACTCTTTAATTATATTTGTGATTCAAGTGTTGTCTGCTATATTACAAACGTGAAATCTCAGAACAGGAATTGGGAATATTGTTGATTGTGCCTCTACAACTGTAGCTGAGCAATATTTGCTAAATGATGAAATCATACATAACGACACTTATCATGTACTGAAGAGCAAGAACATAAACGAGGACACAACTGCTGAAGACTACTTTAAAAAGAATTTTTATTGTGACAAAAGAGAAGCGTTATAGAAATGGAAGGTGCATACTGAGTTTCAAATAGAATAAAGTCCGTGGCTGTTAAAAAAATCAAAGAAATGAGGTGTTTTCATTTAGAAACTAGTTGTATCAAACTAACTCGACTCTGAAGCCTTCCTTAAATCTGTAAGACAAAGGCAACTGTATCTTATAATTCAAATAGGGAATACAGTGTAATATATTCAGAGTATTTGTGGTGTACTTATTTCTGCATAGTTGTCGTAAGTTTATAGTCCAGTAAAACTTCTAATCAGAAACAGTGTGTTTGGTTGCATTTTGTACTTCAATTAACGTGTGTAAAAACAGTTTTCGTGAATGTGCCTGTGAATATTGAACTTTGACTTATTATGGGCTATCTGTCAAAGAAGACTCTCACCTTTCAGAGTGTAGATTAAGCCTAGCATCAGTATGCATACTTTTCGTACTGTTCACTGTAAATTTCCCGAGGTGCTAACAAGGAGAATTTGTTTCACAATCAAGAGCTTCTTTAATTCGTGATCATTTCCTTTATTCTCGTAACCATAGGGCATGATTCCGGTCAGCGGTTATTTTATAGGAAGAAATTAGATGCTCGTCGCTCGTACGCATTGAAGGTTAAAACATTGCCATAGCTTGATTGCCATCATTTTACCCCCCAGGTACCAGACTATTCTGACCACGATGCGCTCGGCCGTGCTGCTACTGGTGGGCTGGGTCCATTCCATTTTCTGGGCATTTGCACCGCAGTTGGATTGGGGCGAGATTGTTTATCAGCCCAAGACTTCAACTTGCCGTCCAAACTGGGGCGCAAAGGGACTGGCGAACAGGGTGTATACTCTCGGTCTGGCATTGTTGCCATTTGGTGCTCCAGTGATCTGTATGATGTACTGTTACTGCAGAATCTTCTTTGTTGCTCGGTACCACGTGAGAGAGATTAAAAAGAATTCGGTGAATACGCCTGGCTCCGACAAGATCGGCCAAAGAGCCATGGAAACCAAGGCTTTGAAAACGTTGCTGATTGTTTTGGGAGCATTTATCGTATCCTGGCTTCCATACACGGTATTGTCGGTGGCCAAGATGATTTCCAAAGGATCTTGGGAATTCTCGAGCAGTACTCTGAACGCAGTACTAACGGCTACACTCTTAAATGGCTGCGTGAACCCAGTGATATACGCTATTCGAGACCAGAGGTTTTGCAAAGCAATGAAACGTGTGTTATGTCCGCTGTCGTGGAAAGACTCTCAAGAGTTCAACAGCTATCTGTCCAGTAGGAGAGACACGACGAAAGATTCGACAGCGCAGAATATCGAAATGGGAAATATCAACTTTGCTCAGGAAAGTTGAAATGATAGGCGAATAAGTACAGCCTATCTAAAGAAAGACACACGAAAAACTCATGTTATGAATCTTTGTCTTTGTTCCGCTTTTAATTATCTCTAAGTGATAGAAACAAAAGCTCAGAAATTTTGGACAATCCAGGATTGCACCGGTTTCCCTTTTCTTCTTAACCTCGTTAGTTGGTATAAACAGTCGTGCTACCCTCTCGACCAATAGAGAAGCAAAACTGAAAGGAGTAATGACTAAGTCACTCTCATTTCCGACATTTCCCGCGCTTTAGGCTGCTTGCATGTAATCACTACGAGTTCTCTTTGATCTACGCTTCGCACCTTGGTTTTGGCTCTAGAATCAAAAGTGTTCCACTTTAACTGTACTTCTCACCATTAAGAGTACAACTGAGATGGACTTTAAAGCATATATTTTGACTTTCTTTTAATTATAAAAATATTAGCCTAGCCAGATATAAATTACCGTCTTCCTGATTCCAGCAAGAGAAACACACCTCTGTCCAATTGTTCCACTAATGCTTGATTTATATATTATTAACTTAAGTCAAAATAACAATTTTCTCCAATTAATTGAATTTATTGTTACGTAAACTATATTCTTTTATATACATAAGCTCAATCCGATATGCATTTTGATTGGTTCAAAATCATGATCTATTGGAGAACAGACCCACAGATGACATCACCATTAACAACATTTAACCTTTCGATCATATATGGCAAATAGGCTCCATGTTGCCGTAGGTCTGTTCAGTAATAGACCACAAGAAACTCGGCTGCCCCTCGTGAACCACTGTTTCGTTCTTGTGACATGTTGCGTGACATGTTGCGTGACATGCCCTAATTTGTCAAACCCGTAATTAGAGATTCCCGGATGTTGGAAAGTGTTTTCTTTCCGCCATTAAAGACGGCTTGTTATTTACCACAAGGTCTCTCCTTTTTTGTCTGTTAAGTGCTCTCAAGCATATTGATACAGTTCTAAGCACATTTAGATGCAATCTGGGATCTAATTCTCAACAGACGCACGGCAACATGAATTTGTTTTTAAAAAATTAAGTAGCTCCAGAAATCTAAGAGTTTTTAACCTATTGTAGCATTCAACATTTGATTTTTGGTTAACTTACCTCCGTAAAGTATATCACACATGAAAATGCCAGTATTTCAAATACAATGTGGACCTGACGCACATTTCGACATGTGTTAAAAACACTAAAAGAAGTGACACTGAATGAAACAAGAATTGCTGACATAAATAACCTTTGAAAATTTGAAAACGAAATAACTATACGTGCATTCTGAAAAACGCAGAATAATGAGCGTCACCCCTTAAAATTTTCGAGGAGGATTCTTGAACACAACACTAACGTCCAGGCCCCGGTTGTTCGAAGGGCGGATAGCGCTATACACTGGATAAATCTCTATCCGGTGGATAGCGCTATACAGTAGATAAATCTCTATCCGGTGGATAGCGCAGTACGTTTTGGTAACACTTATCCGCTGGATAGCGATTTATCCGTTGGATAACGTTATCCGCTCTTTGAACAACCGGGGCCAGAACACCAAGCTTCCTTGTGAGCTTTAGACCACTTCGTGGTACTTTGTTTTCTCTGTTTTACCACATGAAACAATGATGCCACTTTCTATGAGAAAATGACAAACGAAACACTTTCAACACGAAAGAATACACTCTCATGGTTATCTGGCGAATTTTTTGGGAAGTTTACCAAAACAAATTACAGAGTAAAAGGTACTTTTTGTTTTATGCGCACTGTTTAGAAAGTTAACGATCAAGAAGTAAAAAGTAAAAGCATTCAAATAGTACGACAAGTGTCGTGACGTCCATCAATTTTTTTTTTCAGTCACCCACTGAGGTTTACGCGATGAATTCGAAGTTAAGTTAAATGCTTCTCTACGAGAAAGCTCTCATCTTTCTGATATTTATGTTCTTCATCATAAAATGGAATTCAGATTTTCGTCAAATCGTCAAAATCACATGAAACTTCGGCGTCCTCGCGCGCCCAGGATGCAACACGATTCCTTTTTCCGGGGAGAGCTTCAATCTCAGGAGGAAGGGGTCGTACCCACTCATCGTCCAGTTGGTTTTGGCGATGAAGGGGTCGTAACCTGTCGTCGCCCAGTTGGTTCGCGCTTTGAATGGATTGTTCCCTATCATGGTCCGTTTGGCCTGAGTGATGAAGGGGTCTTAACCAATCATTGTCCAGTTGACTCGGGCGAGGAGGTGGCGGTAGCCAATCCGTTTCATCATCGTCATCAGATGTATCCTCCGAATCGGACTTGCCATTCACAGGTCCGTTTTTAAGACTTTCAACGGAGTCCTTTGTAGAGGTAGCCTGGGTGTTAGGACTACTCTCTACAGGTTTATTTTTAGCCGACTCGTCCAAGCCCTTGACGGGACTGTCCGGATTTGTCTTTCGGGTTTTATTCACTTGTGCGTAAACCGGCGGCTGGTTTTTATGGATCGGTGGGGGTGGAGGTCTCCAGTCAGGAGGAGCTTCATTTTCAACAAAGTCAGAGAGGGAGAACGCACTATTATCAACCCCGGCAGAGCCCATAGACGAATCCACAAGGCCTTCTCTTCCCGTTGTCTGTTTCAATTTGACGATACCATCGTCTTTTCCTTTACCGTCACTAGATGTTACCTCTTCATATATCGAGTTCACGCGAGAGACATTGGGACTACGCCTTGGCCTGTATTCCTCGAGGCGTACGACGTCATCCAGGTTGTTTTCTGAGCGCGAGTTCGAAGCCGCTGAAACGAGGTTTCGCGATCCAAGATCTTGACTAAAACTCGCAGAGTTTCTATCACCTTCGAACATTCCCACGTCGATTTCGTCATCTGCAGGCGCAAAGTTGTATCGACCATCCACACTTCCCTCGCTGTCGCCACTTGAGGACAATTGTGAGGTGCTTTCCGTCCTTCGATTGCTAAGAAGAAAACCCAAATGATGTGAGAAAGGGCGTGGCCGACGAAGATTCAGGGGTGCATGTGACAATAAAACAACCTGACTTACCCTGGCCACGAATGCTACTAAGGGGCCGACCATTTAACTTTTGAGAGGGGGAGGGTGGGTGATTTCTCGTCATTAAGAAATTCTTTTTCCAGCAATCTGCTGTGCAGGATATTTTTTTCCGATTTTTTGGTACATTTTTTTACTGTTAAATTTGGGCTGCATGCAATTTTTTTCTTTCAACAACAGCTTGCAGGAATTTTTTTTTTAAAATCACCCACCCCCCTCAAAAGTTAAATGGTCGGCCTCTAAGATGCTGGTGTTAGATTGCCGCCCCCTCCCCCCGCTGAAAAACAGAGAAAAAAAAAAGAAAGAAAGAAGACAAAAATAAAGACTGACAGAAAGAGGAAAAAAAAACAGAAGATAGACAGGCAGACAGACAGACAGACAGACGGAGAGAAAGAAAGAGAGAAAGAAAGAAAGAAAGAAAGAAAGAAAGAAAGAAAGAAAGTAGAAAAAAAGAAGGAAAAGAAGAAAAAAACTTTTAAATCAATTACACAGATTGGAATAGGAAATACATAGCAATGCAAACTGGTAGAAATTCTCTCGATACTCACTGGTAAACATACTTGAGAGAAGGATCCTCACGATTACTGATCTGCAAACTTTGCCCTGGAAAGAAAAGCTCACCATAAATTAATCAGTGGGAACTACCGTATTCAAGTTCTTGTAGATACAAACTGACATAAAAACAGTAAACAAAGTCGGGTTGGACAGTGGGAACTACGCATTAGTCTTCGCACGTCCACAGCATTGGTCTCCAGGCTTCCAAGAAGATTTGACCGCGACAAACTTGGGACAAATAATAAGGTTTATAAATTTAGAAGAACTCCCTACGTGGTGTTACTTACGAGAACGCCGGGTTTGTCTTCGCTTGAAACAAACAAACGCGATGATAATGAGCAAAATGAAAAAACCAAGCACGACACAGACAACCGCGACTTTTAATCCAGAGGACTGACTCAGTTGCCCCGACGTTACAGCAAACTTATCTGAATAGAAAAAAAAGAACATAAATAAAAATAGTAATAACAATGATAATGATAAAAACAATGATAAAGCTGTTAACAATGACGAAATCTAGAACAGAAAATTTATCACCAAAACCAACATATGACAAAAGGTTCTTTAACTCACCAATATCAGTCTTGACGATGAGTAATTCCGAAAAAGGACCAATCCCTGCGTTACTGTACATTCGGGCTTTCACTTCATATTTGGTGTCTGGTTCCAGACCCTTAATAAGGTATACAGTATCCAACATCCGGGGAATAACTACTTTCCCATCAAACACTTCACCCTCTGACTCTTTATACCATATATGGTAACCTAAGATTGAGTATGCAGGAAGCTGCAAATAAACAAAAAACATGTCAGAAAAAAGTGTGTGTTTACTAAGGAGACATAAAATGCACTGGACTCTTTCTTACTTGCATTTCTCCACTTCTATGAAAGTTTAAAAGCGTGAAAAGGTGCCATAACTAACTTCAAAGCCGATCAATTGATCAGCAGCCAGTGGCAACATGACTAACAGGGGTAGTGATGGTGAGAGATAACATCAATCAATCAGTTTATTATGTGAGCATACATAAAAGGAAACGTCAGAGGTTATCCCTATCGAGGACGCTCCCTACATAAAATACAAAATAGATACATTTTCACCTTGCTAACACTGCAAGCGATAAAACATTGTGTAATCAGAAGCTAAGATAATTCATTCCTGTACCTTCCATTTGACCATCAGCTGATAAGCTCCATTCGATTGTACAACTAAATCCACAGGAGGTGTTAGGGGAACTGTAAACGGAACAGGAAATATCTTACCATCAAAGGAGTCTCTTTTTCAGTATTACTGAGACTTAAAATACAAAATATTTTCCTAACAATCAGTACTTGTCGTAGGTCGGAAAATTACGATATAATGGGAATTCTCTCGATAGAATTGCAACCATTTATTCTAAAATTAATATTCTCACCCAGCTGTAAGGTTGTTATTTTTTTTGAAACAGCTCCGCTCCATCTTTCTATCCCATCGTTCCTTCTTCTTCCTGCGTATACCCTGACCAAGTAAGCTGTATAAGGGGAGAGCTCTCGTAAAGTGAAATTTTGTGGGCTCCCGACAATGTTGTGTTGGATGAAAACATCCTTAGAGTTGTTCCCATTCTGAGGTTTGTAGTTGATTCTATACAAAATGGTGCTGAGATATCCATTTAAATCTTCTGGTTTTACCCACGAGACATAAACAACAGTCGCGTTTTCGAGAGTCAAATGCAATTTCAAATCCTTTGGGGGTGACGGAGCTGAAAGTAAAGAGAAAGCAATGTGTTCAAGTTAGAATGAATATTTTCCGAAAAGGTGTCCATGCATTGGCTTTTTATGACCACACATGGAAGAGTTTGGCTTTAAAATAATCCTTTAACTATTTCTCCGTTTCGTATTTTGCGGCAAAAAAGTTTGCATTATCACTAATTTGTCTCTGTCATCGGTGACTGTAACCGTTTAAGTTGTTTGACAGGTAAGAGAGAATGGCGAGTTTACCATTTAAGGGAACTCGAAGGACCACGAAGTACTCCAATTCTGAGGTGACATATCCAAACAACCTTCCCCTCCCCCCAAATCAAGAGCGTAACTACATACAACTTCTCATAGATAAAACCACTCTGTAAGAAACGAAAGTTTGTGTACCTGTCACAATTCTCTGGAGAGAAAATCATTGCAAGCTATCTAAGGTTTTATTTTTAAGAATTTCAAAATATTCATCATTTCACTGTGCTAACTGTCGAATACCCCAAATGTTCCTAAGCGTTTGACACTTAGTGCCTTTTTCGTATCAGAGGTTAACTATAGAAGATGAACTACTCTTCATACCTCCCTCCAGAGTTGTCACATTTTGCGATGACAGGCTGTTTTCACTAGTGCCCAGTCCATTCTTTGCCTTCACTCTGAAACTGTAAGCTGTGAATGCTATCAAATTGTTGACCCGTACTGAACTTCCTATTATGGTGTCGTTTACTTGTTCCCATTCCCCCGCTACAGTCTTCATCTGCACCGTGTACTGAAGAACGAGATCCAGGGGGTCAGACTGGGTCCAAGTCACTTCTAAAGATGTCTCCATGATACTTGTGACCGAAGGCTGAGAAGGAGCTCTGGGGACTGAAAGGAAAAGCACATACAAATAATCATCGTATTCCCGTCGTTTGCAAGAACCTCCGGTCTACATTAGGCTCGATCACCAACCGCTGTTCGAAAAATGAACATGCGCTCACCCCCTCCCTGTAGTTCCTTCTAGGGAGAATCAAAGACCGGATGCGAGAAAATGGCGGAAATCGAGAATAGGTCTACACTGATCTAGATAAATTTTAAAATGAACTTCAACTTTCCTGAGCCTGTGCTCTGCTCTTCGCAAATTCTGAATATCTTACCTCTCGCAAACCTCGCGACTGTATCAAGAGGATTAGAGCAGTTACACAGGAAGGAATTTTTAACAAGAGATAAATCAGGAACGATCAGCTCTTCATTGGCGTTGACAATGTAATCCGGGAATTTTTGTAAATCTGGTAGCTTAGAACTCTGTAGGTACCAGGTCACCTGAGGACGGGGACTTCCTTCCACTTCACACTTCATGATCGTTTTGCTGTTCTGGGATGGAGTCTTTTGGAAATCTGTAATCTTTGCTTTAGCTGTGGATGTTCGAACAGTTTTCACTGAGCGTCGAAAGAAATATCCTTTGGATACCCTTAGATTTACTTCACTTCGTTCCGTGATTGGTTGAGAAAATTCGCGCTAGCCAGTAATTTAACCAATCAGGAGAAAAACTCTAATCAACCACGACATGGTCATGAGCGCATGCTCTTTCCGAGTAGAAGTCTGCTTAGTTATACTTACACCGATTTCTCATTGGCTCCGTGTGACTTATCCCTTGGTGCGATTGGCCAAATTCATTATTTCCGTTTCATATCTACGACACTGGAACTAAATGCAGTCTTGAACAATTTTCATGAGGGTCGAAGGTAATCCAGAATTTCATTGGTTTCACTTTACCATATTCATGTGATTGGTCTCTCGACCAAACAGATGCAAAATTTTGCCGCGTTTCCCCACGTTTCAGTGAGGCTGCTTACTTTCAATTTAAAACCTATTACCACCTTGTTGCACGGCTAGTTTCCTCTATTCTAACCGGTCATTACAATCACTGAGATCTTATTTTTACAGCGTTCAATCGAAACACACATCACAGTGTACGTGTATGATACTACTACTGAGTAGGTATTTAAGTAAATCTGTGTCCTACATCCTGGCTATGCCTTGCCTCTACAAGCTAACGGGAAGTAAATCAACTGAAGATCTCGCGGGATAAGTTACAAAGCATTATGACCACGGTTGTTTTCAGGAGGGATACCCCTACCCATTAATCTCTAACCAGTTGAACAGCAGAGTACGTTTGGCTAACACTTGACCGCTGGATACTGATTTATGCGTTATCCGCCTTTTTAAACAACCGGGCCTTGATGACAGAGCTGAATAACGTATACGCATGCGCTAGGTTTTGCCGCGGAAACACGGATTTTGAGTCGTTCGCATGGTTGATTTCCTATTCTGTTGCTTCGAGGTATCGTTTTCCTTGTCGCTTTTCTTTTACAGAACAACCATCAAAAACTTGGTACACCCCCCAAAAAATTTTCAAAAATTAACTTTCTCCTTAAAAACCTCTGGAAATAGGAAAGTGCCTTCGACGAAAACAGAGTTCCTAGGTTTTAAAAGTCAGTCCTTATTATTTTCCACTAATTTCGCTAAATTTTAGACCTAGGACACTTGAACCCGCGCTATTGACCGCATAACCTCTGACGTAGCATTTCATTATTCAGCTCTGTCGGCCGTGATGGGTTGATTTTAGTAAGAAACACTCAGAATGCCTTAATCGCGTACACAGTGGGCATAATCTCCACTCTTCAATCCCACAATATTAGGACCAGCATATCGGAACCTAATTTACCTCCGATCTTCAAGTCAACCACTTGCTGTGTTGAGCCTCTGCTGTTCCTCGCTTTGCACGTGTACGATCCTTCATCCTGTGGCTGAACATTATCAACACGGTACTGATTTCCAGTCCCAGCAAGGTTTACGCCATTTCGAATCCAGGTTATGGTCGCTGGGGGAATGGACTCCGGCTTGCATTCCAAAGTGTCACTTTGCCCTTTAAGAGCATTCACTGTGTTGGGTGGGACAATGAAACGTGGGGCAACTAAATTTTAAAGAAATGAAGATTGGAGATATTAGTGACAAGTAAGTGGAGGTTGTGCCTATTTAAACTCCTAACGAAGAGAAACACATCTTGTCCTAAACCAGACCCCTAAATCACTTCAGTCTGTGCTCGAGTAACTACTACATGACCTAGTTAACCAGCGAGGACCCCCCTAGGGGTGGTACTTGGCTCAAATTTTTCTGGGTATGTGCCGCTGGCCTCTCAAAACCCCGACCCTATTACAGTCTACTCTTTGGCCAATTACAGACCCTATCTTAGTCATTTTTGGTAATACGGTAACAACTTTTCAACTGCGAATCTTCCCATTTCTAACTCCATACATACCAAAATTTTCTCACCCCAAAGATCCTGAAAATGTGCGACCCAATTCTAACAACTCTATTGAAAATGCAACTCCACTACAGTCGATCAAGTTGTAAAAATGCGACCCCATCTAGCAGCACTTTCCCATTGGCCTACCACTAAGAAGTAATCCCCTCCCCCACTCCGCCTTCGGCGAGGACTCTGTAGCTCAGTGGTAGAGCATAGGACTTACAGAATCCAAATGTGAAGTTCACGGCAGTAAAAAATCATCAACATCTTGCTACAAATTTACTACTTGAGTTGACTTACATAAGACGATTAAGTAGGCCTCGGCACTCGCACACCCAGCAGTGTTGCAAGCTTTGCAAACGTGCAGGCCTCCATTCTGGTTCGTGACGCTGGAATATGTCAGATCTCCATTGGAATGAATCTGTACAGTGGCACTGGGAACAACGTTTGTTACGGTTCCACCGCTGTTCTCTCGCATCCAAGTAACAACAGGCTCGTCGGGGCCACGGGCGCGGCACAACAGAGTTGCACTGCTCCGTTCGTCAACGGTAACATTATTCGGGACGGTTGTGAACACAGGAGAGTCTGAGACATGACAGAGAGAGAATCGCAAATTTATCTTTGCTTTCTCGTATGCGTCAAAAAGAACAATATGGCCCTTTGACTGCTAAGAATGACCAGCATCTAATTTCTCCTTACAATATCACCCCTGAATCACACACTAGGGTTACAAGAATAAATGAAATAATTATTAACTAAAGAATATCTTGATTGTTAATCAAATTCTCCTTGTCAGCACCTGAGGAAATGTATAGGGTACAGTATGGATAATATGCATGCTGATTTTATGATGTAAAGGTTTTTTTTACTGAAAAAAGGGTGATAAGTTGGGTGGAAAATTTGTTTATATGAAAAACATACACTCTTGTCTTTGTCTATCTATTGGCACGAGTGTTTCTTAGCGCACATAAAATTATGAGGCCTTGATCAACGCGAGCCAGTAAGAAGTTTGCAGAGAGTCTAGGTACCAGATCTCCAAAAAACCTCTCTCCAACTCGTCTCTGATCTTCCCACGGGAGGAAAAACATGTGTCATGTAACACTGATAATGAGAACCTGCTGTTAGGCTATCTTGAAATAAATACTAAAATTTTCTTAATTAACCGATTTATAGACCCAGACCTTACAGTTGATTTATTGACAATCATTGCATTTAAAAAAACTGTCAGTTCTTTAAACCAAATATGAAAGGCAGCTTCCATACCGGCGACTAAAAGGTATGCCTTTCTTTCACTTGTTCCTGCATCATTCGTTGCACCGCAGGTGAACCAACCACTGTCTTGTTCCGACACGATTTTCACCACAAGCGTTCCATTTGATAGAACACTGAAGTGCTCATTATTGATGATAGGAGTTTGTGATTTGTACCATTTGACGGAAGGAGCAGGAATTCCGGTTGCCTGGCAGGAAAATGTGGCTGTTTGTCCTTTAGGAATTGTTTGGTTTCTGGGAGATGTTACAAAGTTTGGTGGCACTATAGATAAGGAACAAATGAAATGAGTGGCAGTGTTAACCCTCCTTAAAAAATTGCTAACTGAAATTTAATTCCCTTCAATAGGAAACTGAACTTGACATATACTGTATATCAAACAGCTTTAAAATACACCTACAAGTAGAAGTGCATAATTTGTGAACATTTTCCTTACTAAATGAAATAAAAAATAAACCACCACCTACAGAATGATTTACCTTGAATTTCTAGGTAGAATTTACCAGAAACTGATCCAAATGAGTTGTTCGCAACACAAGTATAGAAACCTTGATCATCAAGAGACAAATAATTCAAATTCAAGCTGCGATTTGTTGTGATAATTGTGCCATTAAACATCCACTGATACTCAGGAATGGGTGTGGCATAAGCTCCACATTCCACCACAAGTTGACTGTTAATATTCTGTGTCCTGTTCACCATGGGCTCAGGAAATCTTGGAGGAGCTAACACGCACAACAAAATAAGACATACAGTAAGTCTTGTGAGCCTACAGAGTACATCCCATAGCGCACTGCTGCTGAAGTTTACCCCAGTTTCTGAAGCATGGAACAACCAAGAGTATTGCAACACCCCCCTCCCTCCCCACCCTGTCAGATGGGGCCAGTCTAATTAAGGTAAACCTCAAGTATCTCTCTCAGTTTGTGTAACATCTCCTGCATCTATTAATTAGTTAATTTGGTTAGGCAGGGGACATTAAAGAACCCAGTCACGAGATTACTGTGATGTGGTCTGGCCTGTTTACTGGGAATTGTGGGGGAGGGGGCATCTTCAAATAAGTTTCCTTCGATTGTTTGTAAACTGCTGATGCAGTCTGGCCAAAGTCCCCCAAAAAGTGTTGTGATGTGCATTTGATCATATCCACATGTTGATTTGCACAATATAAACATTAAATTATTATTATTATTTCCCCCCATAAATCTGCTGATACCATTTCTACAGGTTTGGACAAAAGTAATGCAAAGTTAACATAATTTAATGAATTTTGTGGCTTTTCCAACTTTTTGAAGCAATTGGACTCTAAACTAAATTTCTGTGTCATCTCCAAAAATTTTTGAGGTACATGTAGTTATTGTCTTCAGTTCCCAAACTTCAGGGGAATCATTCTCAGGGAGCATTAGTGAGTCCAGAAATTTTGAGAGAAAGTTTGCTCCTCCCAAAACTTTTGCAGGGAAACTTTCATGCCACATTTGTGAAAGCAAACCACTCAACAACTTATTGAACTTCCTAACTGTGATTGTAGTCTCCATTCACCTCTACAACTGAGGTAAACTTGAATGAATGAATGAATGAATTCCTTATTTATATTGCACCCTTTCTACACAATATTCGAAGGCGCAGTACCCCCATCAATTTGATAGACACTACACAAAGATAGACCACAACACCGAGCACTTTGTGCCCTACTCTTTTCGAACAGTGTGTGGTTCTTTAACATCCCACAATTTTTTTTTCTCACATATAAGGGCTTGTGAGACGGGACCTCCATTTATAGTCCTTATCCGAGAAGACTAGAAAGTCTAGCCATTTGCAGATAATATTACAAAGGCAGCACTTTCTTCTCAGTTATTTAAAGACCCTGAGTGTTGGTCCGGCCGGATTTGAACTCACAACCTCCCACACAACAGTCCCGCGCTCTACTAATTGAGCTAACCGGGAGGTGGTTAGCTCAATTGGTAGAGCTTGGGGACAAAGGCAAATTAATGACTGAAGTTTAGAGTCTAACCAAAGAATATGAAAAAGAAAAATGGCCTCTGCAGAGCTAGGATCTGGATTGCTACAACTGGAATCCTGCTGGCTAAGCCTGAGCACAAGAATGTGCACAACTGCCACTCTCCTAAAATAAATCGAGAAGAGGGAGGGGGCTACACAGACTACACAAGAATCTAAATAAATATGATATGATGATGGTAACTGATTAACCTCTCTCTACCTGGAGGAAGAACATTTACTGTGACTACCTGTCAAGCCAGGAACAGCTTACCGCTATCCAAGCAGAAAATAGCATCACTAAATTCTTTTAGGAACTCTCTTTGGAAAAAATTCTTTGAAGAACAGCAGCTTTTAAATAATTTTATTCTGTGATTTAAATAGTTATACTTTTGTACTATTAATTGATTTTATCTCTTACCTCTTGTATTTTATTCGTTATATTATCTCATAGTTATGCCATAGTTTTTAACATCCGTATTGTACATAATTTTAGAGGGCCACAGGTTTGTTAGTATTATTTACTATTTTAGTGCTACCCTCTTTAAATAAAGTCTTTACTTTCTTACTTAGTGATACTTACTTACTTACCTCACAACAATTGCTGATGACTGTACTTTTTACATAAATAATTATTACAATAGCATAGTTGAAATATTTTGCTGGACTCACTCTGAACTTTCAAAGTTGCAGAGGCTGACCTCTCTCCAACATCATTCACAGCTTTGCAAGTATAGGTTCCAGCATCAGATTCTGTTACAATGGAGACACTAAGAGAATTGTTTGAAAGGACTGTTATGGAGCCCGATTGCTGAGACTGCAAAGTAAATATGGAGCCATTGGGTGTGGTCCACTCCACATGAGGAGCTGGGTTCCCCTCTATCACACAGGCAAATTGGACAGATGAGTGTTCATCAACCACTTTGCTTATAGGTGTCCTTGTTATACGAGGAAAACCTTAAATAAAAATATATAGCTGATGAGTAGAGTGAATGAAATTTTGCAGTTAGAACTTGAAGTATAATTTTTAATGCAATCGCTATTGTATATATACATTAAATAATTACCTCGAATGCGTAGAAATGCCAGGGCAGTGATATTCCCTTTAGAATTCTTTGCTGTACATACATAGCTACCATCATCCACATGTTGAAGATTGACAATCCTTAAGGCACCAGGGGAGGGTTCTTGCCGCCGATCAGCAGGAATGTTCCCATTTAATTTGCTCCACATGATGCTTGGAGGAGGAATGCCATTTGCATCACAGTAAAATGTGACTCTGTCTCCTTCACTTGCAGTTTTGTTGCCTGGTCTTGTTGTAAACGATGGAGGGATGGGTAGGTCTTAAAAAATGAATTCAGTCCAAAAAGTAGAGAGACACTTAAATATAACAGTTAGATAATAGCACAGATGGCAAATACCCATCCAACCTCAATTACTTTAGATTCAAAGACTTTCTGGCCAATTATTGTTTAAGATTTTAGAACATCAGTAAGGGACTTAAAGACATCTGACAAATTACTCACAGAGGAAACAAAATGGTCATCTTGGTTTAAATTTAAATTTTTTTGTTTTCCAGAGGATATATATATATTAGTATAACTTCAAAGCTGAGCAAAGAGTTTCCAGCAATCTGATTGGTTGAGTGGTTCCTTATATGATGCTACATATAAACCACTCCCCGCAGTTTATACAAAATGTTAAAATAAAATGTTAATAAATGTTACTGAAATGTTATGATTTTAGAAATTTCTCTATTGTTCAGCTCTGAAATTATACTAAAACAACTATTCACCTCAGGTTCAGTGAATATTGTCAAATTAATCCCCTTGACTTTGTCTCAGGGATTATTCGACGATATTCGCCTCGCCTTCGGCGAATAATTCTTAATTGTAATTAGAGACATTATTAGGAAGAGTTTGTACCATTAAGAAATCATTCCACTGATATCAAAAATGAGAAATCGTATAAAAGGAATGTGATTTCGTATCCTGAAATAGATAGATCATCATGTGTTTCAGTTTACATCTGTAACTTACATACCATTTACAATCAGGGTTGCACTTGCAGAAGTTGAGCCATAAGAGTTGTGAGCTTTACAGATGAACAAGCTACCATCATCACTCTTCATCAAATTATTTATCTTCAGTGATCCATTGCTGAAAACCTCAAATCGTCCACCACTAGAAATTGTTGTATCGTTACTATTTTTCCAAGTTAAAGTTGGCTTTGGATATCCAACAACCTCACAGTGAAACAAAGCAGATTGTCCGACATATGTTGATGATGAAGAAGGTGTTTTAGAAATACTTACCATTGGGACACCTAAAATAGTAATGAATTTGTTAGTCATCATAATTTTTTATATGAGGTTCTGGGAAATTTTTGATTAAGTGTTGAAAGACCGAAATAAAAGTAATAAAGGGGCCAACCAGGACAAATCTTATTCCCCTAATCAACCATTTCACTGTCAGAAATGATTAAAATGTATCTTCTCCTCGCAATATCAAGATATTATCCTGCAGACAAGTAATGAGATTAGACAAACCTATCAGAAGGAGTGTGTCATCTTGATGTAACATTTAATTCTCCTTTACAAGTAGCAAAGAAATATATAGAAGCTGGAGAAGAAAATTACAATCTAGATCTTAATAACTAAGATTTCATGGAAAAAATGTACGATACCTTGCACAGTTAAAGTTGCTGATTTTGTTCCTGTCTCTCCCGACTGTTTGTCAGTGGCTACACAGGAATAATTCCCAGAATCAGAAAAGTCTAGGTTATCAATCTGCAATGATGTTGCTGAGCCAGAGGGGGAGATGTTGCCTTTAGTGACGTTACTACCATCTTTTAGCCAGTGGTAAATGGGTTGTGGGACATCTATTTGGCATTCAAAATTGATTGTGCTCCTTTTAACAACAGATTTGGAAGTCGGTTCCTTTAAGAAGTTTAGCACAGCATCTGTAATTGTAATAGAGTTTGACAAAATGACTTTCTTAAAAATCATAAATTGCTTATTAGATATTATAGGGTTAATACTCAACAAAGCTTGCAAACCTATCCATTTGCAGTTTCCATGGTCTTTCTAAATGCAGGGAAGGGTGCAAAATGGAAGAGAACCCTTTAGGAAGTCTAGCTTAAGTTCCCCTCACTTGGGGAAAGGAATTTAAGAATGGAAGTGCATATACATGAATAGTGAAGAAGAGAGAAAGAAAACACTCTTACTCTGCCAACATATAGGTGGTTTACAACCAATCTCTAGAGACACAGGTAACAATGGTGAAAGGAACAAATGCTGGTGGTCGAACAAAAGAAGCTAATGAGATATCTATTGTTTACGTCCACCAACATGGCGGAAATGACATAACATGCAAACCACCCATTAATGTAATTTTTCCTTGATTATTGTATCTAGGGGTATCAAGCTTATTAGGGGTATATGCTTTGACTTACCTACACATAATGTTATGTTCATTAAAGTAAGGAATACAATGACAGCTGGCCACATTTTCTCGTTGATAGCTATTTGGTATAGTCTTGAAAACAAAACAAAACATTAATTACAAAGCGATGATTTTTGAATACTTGCAAGTTACAATTAACAAACATCTGATATATATGTTGTAGGTCAATTTGTTCTTTAGGTAAATTTGTTTCAAACTAGGTTAATTTGATCTCAACCTAGGTCAGTTGCTGATGTCTGTCTGTCTGTTTTTTTTTTTTTTTGGATGTGTTGAGATGTCTGGAACCTGAGGCAAATAATTGTTTTAGTATAATTTCAGGTTCCAGACATCTCAACACAGCCAAAAAAAAAAAAAACAGACAGACAGACATCAGGTACTGACCTAGGTTGAGATCAAATTAACCTAGTTTGAAACAAATTTAGCTAAAGAACAAATTGACCTACAACATATATATATATATATATGTATGTATTTGTCCACATGAAAGTTTCTATGAGAAAGAGAGTAACCAATAAAAATTAAAACAAAAATGCTTCTAGCTCATGGTTGGAACTGGTCCCTGCCAATTCTTTGTTGTTGTCTGGCTCATCGATTTTAAAAAATTAAAAGGCGACTTTCAGGTGTCATCTTGTTGCTTTACTCCACAGTGTGACTAGCGAAAATTAGGACTTCTCTCTTCGAATGTAAACAGTAACAGAAAGTATAAACAACTGAATGTCTCAATTACACCTGCGTGATCTTATGATCATTGGTTCGAGAACTGTTTACACACACTTTCTGTTTTGTCAGTCATTACTACGTGTTACCAATAACACAAAGTCAACTTGAGAGCAGAACTGTACTTGACTGGACCAAAACTACACACAAGCCGGTAAAATTATACATATAAAACTGAAGCCTCTACAGATCACAGCAAGGGATGACAGTGCTAAAGAATAATGAACCCACGATCACCCCGCAAGGAATTAAGAGCTTACCTACGTCGCTCAGTTTCGAACCATGGGTGCGAGGGCTTGATTTGCAACAAACTTACGTATAAATTTTCTCATAAATTCAAATAACTCACTATTCGGAACTCAATCATGAGCCTGGTACGGAATTTAGGACCGACTTCTTCCCGATCAAAGCCTCTAGGCAACAAGCGAAACAAGACGCCGTTCGAAGGAATGCTTCAATTACTGCGGCCATCTTGTAACTAAGACCGCACCAGTCCTTTCGCCGGACTTGATCACACAAAAAAAGTAACGCAAGTCAAGGTAGGCTTTATACACTGTACACTAAAATTTGGGGAAATATAAATTTACCCACATCTTAAGAAACATTTTGTGTTACCACTCTTCCAGAAGAAAAATTTTCTCTTATCAGAAAGTAACGTCAGGGTCGAAAATCTGAGAAAATAGCAACAAGGAAGTGAGCAAGAAACAAATATTTGAGTGACGTCACCGAAGGGCGAACCGTGTTTCTTGATTTACGGAACTGGGTACGGGCTGATGAAAAAAAATTATGGCGGTGTTTCATAAAGATCCATGTGGAGTTATTTGTCTTTTTATAACTTATTCCGCGGTGTTTTATGCAGATTATTGTATAGTTCAACACGTCGTTCGTCCCACATTAACAGAAAGGTAAGTTTTTTCTAATTTATTGCTTTAAGTCTCATTAAACTTTCGATTTTCTCGCTATATATATTTAAAAGAGGTCGTCGACACGATCATCATAAATTGTATGTTTATACGAACTTATTAAATCATTTTAATTTAAGAGTCGCTTACCCTATGTATAATTCTCTAATAGAGTCTTATAGAGAACAATTTTTATTTATACGACAGAATCAATCTTTCAGACCTTCAAAAATGCGATCAATGTTATTTCAATGGAAACGTCAGGTTTCATCAAACAAAATGCTGATACGTCTGTTTTTGCGAATGAAGACGAGGGTAATTCTCGTGATTTTCATCAGAGCTGTTTATAATAATATTAAACTTGCATTTTAATGATGTGTAATCAGTTCCAAGGCTAAGATGGCAACAAAAGTGTTTGGAGGGTCTTGAATTATAGATACTTTAATAGTAATATAATATAATATAATTATAATGATAGTAATAATAATAATAATAATAATAATAATAATAATAATAATAGGAACTGTATGGGGGCCTCTTTAGTATTAAGTCTTAGTGAGTGGCACTAGTCTTGTCCTCCGTCCATGAAGCAATCTGGTTGTCAAGCTGAGATTTCAGCATGGCTACCCTTCATTTGTGAGGTTTGAAGCTTCCAAGGTCACCAAGAGGATAAAGTGAAATTTTTTGTCAATTAAGCTCAAGTGTTTATTCAGGAAAAGGTACTGTGACCACTTGGAAAGATATTGGTTACATGGCCACCATCTGTCCTTGTAGGTACACATCCTAAAGTTTTTCCAAGGTTCTGGGAGATGAGATCTAAAAAACCAAACCAGGATATTAAGCAAGCAAACATGTAGAGGCCTATGATTAACACAACCAATTTAATCTGAGTGTCCAAAGATCAATCAGCGATGATCATACAAAAGCAAAATATTGGAAATTTGTGAAATTAAAATACTTGAAAGTTTTAATGAATAAACATCTGACTCTTTTCTCCTATAAAATTTATTAATCTCCTTGTGGCTTCTATTTGTTTTCAGCATCTGGGGCAGCTTACATGTTTGTATATTTAATATCATTGTTCTACTTTTGACAATATCTCATGTGAGAGCATCATTTTCTGATCCAGGTGAGATAGACTCTAGTAAGGCAAGTTAATTTGGATTTGTCAACTGAGTTGATGTAAATTGGCCAGTGTAAATGGTTTAAAGACTTTTAAACTCTTTACGCTGGCCAATTTACTTTATCAACTCAGTCAATAAGACCAATTTATCTTGTTATAATCTCCCACAGGCACAGCATCACAGTTTCTTTGTAAATTTACTCCCTTTATTCTTTGGTGAGGCACTCACTGCAGGGGTGGATCCAGGAATTTTAGATGAGGGGGGTCCAAACTTCGGTACAGAAAGGTCTGTTGGACTCTTATGAGGCAATTACTTCTCCTCGACACCCCCCACACCCCCTCCCACCAGTCGCTGTTGCGCGTTATAATTCCTTGGCCGCTTACCGTTTATTCATTAATTAAAAAAATCAGCCAGTTAAAAAGTGATATACAATCCTGTCGATGTAAGAATTTCAGTCTCAAAGTTGTAAGGCAGAAAGGCGTTCGTTGATACCTGCTTTTCATTCCACTAATTTATTCGTGTTTTTCTTATTGCCATGTTCCCACCAATCACGTAGCTCTATTTTCTGCCTTTAAAAGCACACACAACCCACAATTCCTCTATTCGCTCCAACGAAGGGCTAATGCTCGAAACCTCAGATTTTATAACTGTAACGGTGGCCAATTTACCATTTCAACTTTGTTGATATATTCAAATTATCTCATTACCCCCACCGATGCAGCGCCAAACAATTTCTTTAGAAACTATCAGCCTTTACCAAGAAAAAGAGGTTATTAACATGAAAAATATCTTGTGACTGTTTTAGAATGAAAATGAGTGGACAGTCTGTGCGAAATGTGAAGCATATCGTCCTCCAAGAGCACATCATTGCAGGTAGATATGCCAGATGTCATGCAAGGGAAATTTTACAAGGGCCATAAACTGAGAACCTATTGCATCATGATTGTCGTCATGTTGCTGGTTTCAGTCAGTCAGTAATTAACCCTTTGACTCTCAAGAGTGACAAGCATCTAATTTCTCCTTACAATTAATCACCCCTGAATCACACAGTATGGTCAGGAGAATTAAGGAAATGATCACCACATAAAGAAGCTATTGATTGTTAAACAAATTCTCCTTGTCAGCACCTTGGAAAATGTGTAAAGAACAGTATGGAGAATATTCATACTGATGTCAAGGTGTAAAGGATTAAAACAAGTTTAACTTACTCTACAGTGAAATTAAAACTTAAGGTAGTAACGACATGATTTGCCATCTCTGTTGTAGGACATGTGGAAGGTGCATAAGAAAAATGGATCATCACTGTCCTTGGTAAGTACACTGTACTTGATGCATTTAACAAACTTCATTTCAAGCCTACCTTTCTTTTATTAGTAAGTTATATCATTTTGCCTCCAATTTTTTTCAACTTTTTTATTGAAACCATTTTTTCCTTGGCCCCCAGAGGCTTAAACTAAAACTGATTCCCACTGTGTGTTCCAGTTACCAAGAAGCAAAATATGATGACAGTTTATTTTTAAGGCACTTAAGTACTATGTTGTTTTCTCTTGTAGGATCAATAACTGTGTTGGAGAAGCTAATCAGAAGTATTTTATTTTATTCCTGTTTTACACAGGTAGGAGATTTCTAAACTGTTTGGACATCACTAATTTCATTCAGACCTTTTTTTATTAAGTCTTTTTTTCTCTGTCAGTTCATGACATGTTCAGTGAACATTTAATTCAGATTTCTAAAAAGTGTTGAAAAAAGAGGAAATACTGCTTGCTTTCTAATTACTCTTACTATGGGTTTGTATGGATGAAGGTTTGTAAAGACAGTTGAGTATATTTTTAATAAAGTTGTCCAAACCCTCAAGTATACAAGATATTTTATCTCATGTGATTACAACCCTCTTTATTTCTCCCAACTTCCTTGGTGTTTAGATGATACCATGTAAATCACAGAAAAACTGTTCTATTACTGATAAACATTAAATACACATATTGGTATCAAATGGGAGACTTAAAGACAAAATGGGAATGATACTTAAGGAAAACAAACTTTTTTACTTTAATTTAATTTGGACAAACCAGTGCCAGTAAAAGCCTTCTATGGACAGTTGTGACCACAAGCTTTTGGAAGATGCAGCTGACCTTCATTGGGTCAATCCTCTTTGTTGTTAACATTTCTTTTCTTAGTACCTCATCTTACCTTCTAGGTCTAGCATCACTTTACTCCATAATTCTCACAGCTGTGTCCTGGACAATGGAATGCAATGGCTGTACCAAAGATTACGAGAAAAGAACACGATTGTAAGTCTGCCTCGCAAAGAAGCAGTCAGTAAACAATTGGTTAAAATATAAGAATTTCATCCAACAATAATCATTATCACATTGATTACAGAAAATATGTGACATCCCACTTAAATGTGCATTTAAGAAATAGTTCACAGACAGATAACTTTCAATTTTTTAAATTCATAATTTGTAACTCTCCTTCCCTAAACCCTTTGACTACCAGAAGTGATTAACACGTAACTTCTCCCTATAATATCCATTCGTTATTCAGCAAACAGGTGATGAGAATACTCAAAATATCAGGTAAAGGTTGTTATCTTGATTGAACACCAAATTCTTGTGACCAATTTAGAGGAAATGTGGCAGCTGAAGGGGAGAATTGATAATCAGATCTTGGGTGTTAAAGGGTTAACACTCTTGAATGAGGTTTCCTTTAAACTTTAAACTTTAATTATAAATACTCCCAAAAAAAGGTTTTACAATAAAATTCTAACTGTCGCTCGATCATTCATTCATGGCAAGTTTCAGGACTTTTTTAAAGGCCTTTACAGATGTAACATTTCTCAGGTCTTCGTCTAACTTGTTCCACAGAGATATTGCTCTATAGGCAAAGGACCTTTGGCTGGTAGCTGATCTGAATAATGGAATGTCAATCTTCTCATTATTACGAGTTATGCGATTATGTAAGAATTTATTTTTTAAGAATTCATTCCTTAAAAAATGAATTCTTATTTTCCTTTCTGTATTCATTGTAAGTACACATTTTCTGTCTCATCATCTAACATAACACTGTTTGTTTATTTTTCAGAATATACACTGTAATTCTGATGATTGAAGGTGTTTTGTTTGGTCTATTTGTCCTAGCCATGTTGTGTGATCAGGTATGTCCACTGATCACCATATTATGAACAGCACATCTATCACTACAAAGCTAGTATTTGAAAACCTTTGCCAGTTCCAAGCCCTTTGCCA